GTCGTTTTTGAGCTTGCATAAATTTGAACTACCCGTTTAGATTCTACTTCTATGCCGGAAACTTGTACGGATTGACTCATCAGCGTCGCCGGAGCATAACAGTGACGCAACATCCCTGAACTTGAGAAGTTCTCGCAGATTCGAGGCCCGCCGCCGTCTCTGCCAGAACCCACGATATGACTGCAGAAATAAAGCAACCAAGGAACACTGTACGTGAGCTTCTTTCAGAAGGAAGACACCAGCTACGCACAGCTTTGAACGACCGCTCATGGCCCCGGATCTCCCAGAAATTTTTAGGAACTGTTGGTTCAATATTAAGTACCCTGATGGGTTCGACGAAGCCTTGTTGTGATGCTGGCATTTCTGAGCAAAGACATGATTCGTAGTATTCGGAGAGGTGATTAGGGCAGTGCAAGTTCCCGGGATGAACTAACGTCATCACTGAGATAATGATAAGATTGTTGGGCAGCACGGTTCCTTGCGGCTGTTGCGCAGTGCGAACCCACTGTACCACATCCATCGTTTATCCAGGTCGCACGAGGGAAGTGGCAAAGTGAATGCAGTGACGGTATCCCACCATGACGTGGAAGGGCACTAGGGAAACACAAGGCAAGATTGACAAACCGTCAAGCATACTGCAGGAAGTCATGGGTACTAGGACTGGCGACATACGTGACCTGCACTCACAAACTTTGTGGAAATTAACTTTGCCAAGGTGTCAACTGTCTACGGCTTCTTCAAACATCTCCCTTTTCGAAAAGCCACTTGACGTTCCGAATGAATAAATTCAGTTCATCTGACCAATGCCTGTATGTCGGACGCGTGCATGTCGATGAGCAATTGTTGTGACCGTACGTGGTAGTCGAAAACGTCAGCCTGCAGCTATACCTGACTGAAATGCGGCCATGGTGAGCAGTCAATATTCAATTGAGACCCCGCAGGCACTTCCGACAACTTCCTGTTACAAACTCCTCGATCGATGCATATGATAGACTATGGCGCTATGTAAGTAAATTGTCCCCGTTTTCAGTGGTTATGCGGATGGTTATTCAAGCTGTGCCTTTGTGACATGCTGCTGTCTCCCTGGATATGGCAACTCTTCAAAGCTTCACCTCCCAGGAACATCGTGCATGCCCTTGTATGCCCTCTGGCGTTCGATTTATAGACGATACAGTAACGAGTGTACATGACATCCCCTGAATAACGATAGATTGGGTCCTTGCGATCAGGCCCTGATGAAGTGTGCCTCTGCATCCTGGGGGAAGCGCCAAACGCAATCACAGGGATGGCCTTATACTTCCTTGTTCCTTTCTGGCGACGTGGCCGCAGCCAGGAGTCGTTTCATATTGATTTCGCCTTCATTCTTATTGCTTGCAATTAATGGCGAGATAAGAGCGTTATCATCGCTGATCGGATTCGGTGCCTAGGGAACTGGTAGGTCAGCCCACAACAAAACAAAGATGGAATGCCTGTCTTCTGTATGATCTGCTAGGCAACCCAAATTTTCATTCCGTTGCGCTGAAGAACATATCATAGATCACATTCACTAGGTACTCACTAGCACACTCCAATTCGCTCAACCCCATATGGCACTCCCGACGCCATGCAATTGCAGGGAAGGGTTTCATTTTCATAAGCCCGTGAGGTGAACTGGGCGAGCGCAGCAGACCCTTTCTGGTTACCCCATACATCGAAGCCGTATGCGTGACTGAAAAAGTACCAACCGTCGTTAAGCACCTGAGGACAATATTGTGCTGCGCCTTGCGTCAATAATATGATGAATACGCGGATGCTCCTGCTTGCAGTGCAATTGCGCCCATCGAACAACGGCGTCTTCGAACATTGCAACATTGGCCGTTCCTCACGGATAATAAATACCCGTCAGTGATGGGGTTGACTGCGAGTAGTACCATGAGGGGTTGCAATTTACTAAACTGACGTTCGATAGAAGGGCCAGTGGAAGCAAGTCTTCTTTAGATTCATTAGCAAGCCCTTCATCATTTTCATACAGCCATTTGCACTTCTATTCGCCTTGTTTGTGGGGCCACCTGCATGTCTGCAGTTTGTGCAGCCCATAGAGTATGCAATGTGCTAATGCGCTCATGTTATAGATTGAGATTGCCCTGGAACAATTTCCTCTAAGTATGTGATTCTTTGCGATCTCGCACCTGTTTCTTGCTAATCGGTGGCGAAAGGGGATCCATAGTTCGCGTCCGCCACTCTTACCTTCCCTCTTCATTTCCGGCTCAGCCAGGGATTCTGCTATTTAACACATTTTAAGCTCAGGACTGGGCACAACTAAACCTAAACCACACTTACTGGGAAAGAAGACGTCGGTGATAAAAAAAAACCATGTGATATCTGATAGTGATACAGAAAAAAAACGTATCTCTTCCACTACGATAAGTCCTGAAGCATTGATATCGTCCACCAACAATCTTCATGGTGGGGTGACCTCATGTTTTCAGGCTGGCCACCAGGAACCATATCAACGAAGCACTTTCATTGCTGAGACTTAGCACCGAACAGTATTTGCCAATCTGCGCTCGGCTTTTGTACTGATCATGTTGTGGAGCAGATTGATGATCGGGCAGCCTGGTGGTGTCCTAGTGTGTGATGGGACGTTTGATAAGTAGTTCGAGGACCCAGATCTGAGGATTCTGTATACCTTCTTGGTGCTCGTTCCTGAGCTTATCTCCTGGAGATCCCCAGGCTTCCGAGTTTAGATGGTGTCTCGGTAAACCACCAGGGGAACAGCGGTAGTTCGACAAATGAGGGTGACTATGCCGCTAGAAATATGATGTGCACACGATCCCAGGAGTAGCAAGAATATTCTATTCATCATTGACGACGGAACTTCTATGGTGCCAACTTCTCGTCCAGCCTGACTCGGACACATGTGAGATTGACCTTGAATTGACCTCTTATTTCAAGTGATATTGCTGACGCCTTCCAAGGCAGATTGTGACTGGCGGGCATGAACCTAATGGAGTTTGTCAGTATCATACAGCCAAGATGTTGGGTGTTGCTTTAGCAAGTCGCGGGTAGTGTTTGTCAGAAAAAGGGTGCTAGAAGGCCTAGTACAGAGCCGCTGACTTCCAATTATCCTGAGAAAGTACTCAAGTTTTAACAGTGACATCGCAGTAGTTCCCCAACCATGGAAGCACTAGTAAGTATTATAGATGGGTATTGTCCTACTAGGGTTCGAGCCCGGATAACTAGGAGTAGGGAGATTTCCTACTATAACTGGTCCGGTTACACGCACTAATTGACTCATTAATCAGGTACTCATTATAATTGCTGTTGCACAGCTCTGGCCTTCCTGGGGTTACAGGTAACAGCGGACGTATTTGGCCCAAGGCAATATGTCTGGATGGCATACAGCGCGAGAGGGCAGTCTGCAAGAAATTGTCATTCAATCCCTTGTGAAGATGAAGTGTATGTCTCGAGGGTTAAAATATTGCAATACAATATCGTCGCTTGCTAACTTCATCCATGGTGGACACCCTTGGCTATGTCTTTCGCGGTTATTGCGGAGACAGAAAGGCATTAGACTCTCTGCGGAAACGGTGTGTACCATCCGGCAAGTCGATATGATAATCTCGCACCTAAGCGCACATGTCGGCGACCTGGGATTTAGAGGAACTCAAGGCCTTTATGCAAACAGTGCGGTTTTACCGCGGGAGTCCCGTTGTCAGTTCCCCGTTTCTTAGTTTGTGTGGTTTCATTATCTTATTAATTATTGCTATAGCACACCAGATTACTCGCATAATACCAGAACCACTGATCATCCAGCACACTATCATGACCAAGATGATGACGTCGCAAAAGTCCATATGCTAACTGGAGACAGCTTCTGTATCTTACAAATGTGATGCTGGTTAATTCGAGACAGACCTCGGTGACAATGACCGTCGGCAGTGCTTGAAACTAGGAGGATATGGATAAGTGAGCCCAAGTCCTCTTCGTTGTACTGCCTCTCTATCGCTCGTACTTGGTTGATATTTTTAGGCAAATTCCTTTAAGCCTAGCTCCGACATACCCGATACGCGCCGCGGCGAAGAGATGCACCCAGCATGCTACATTTACTATTGTCATGCGGGCAAAAACTTTCTTCTTTGGTCCAGGCCTCCCAAGGCCCGCGTTCCAGCACGTTCTCGGCGCGAAAGATTTGAACCCAGCGTTGCTATCTCGGACGAAGTTGGCATATCTTGATCCAAGCCCATTACCGATATCATAACGGCGCCGGCACCAGCCCCCAACTCGCTTATTCTTGGCATGTTTTGTGTCCATCGAATCAAACGCAGACTAGTCTTTTTATTTCATCTTGCATTGGTAAATGACTGCTAATCCTATGTGATTCTACTGTCAATGTATGATGTTCTTCGAAGACATCCATCTTGACCAGTCTTGGCCAAGTGGTCAGCGTGACAGAATAGAGATCTGTTGCAGGTTTGAAACCTGCTCAAGCATCTTTTCCTTTTACCACTTCACACATGGATAGATCCTCCAAGGTCTATCTTTAGTAGTCATAGCTAACTGGTTCCAGAACAGATTAGATATCTGCTCTCTTGGGTGGTGCGGCCCGGATTCGAAACCTGCCGACAAATGTGTTATTACATGGTTTCCTCGGGGCCTCACTTCAACTGGTCTTAGTCAAGTGATCACCGCAACAGAATCTAAATCTGTTTCTCTTGGACTGTGCAATTTCGGAACCTGTCGACAACAGTTTTTTTCTATCAGAATATGCCTTGACATTCACCCGTGGACAGTCGCTCGGAGGTTCATCTCAACTTCGTCCCGGCCAGAGTGGTTACCACAACAAAATGATGGTTTTGTTGGATGTCCATCTTAACTGAGCTTAGTTAAGCGGTTGTTACAACAGAATTAAATCGCACTGCGCAGCTTTTAAACCTGCTCAACAACTCGGACAGTTTTTTTTTCTATCATGACACACCTTAACATTCACTCATGGATGGTTTCCTCGGACGTCCATGTAACTGGTCTTAGGCAAGTGGTTACCACAGCAGACTCAAAATCTGTTTCTCTTGGAGTTGGTTCGAAACCTGCTGACAACATTTTTGTGGTGTATAGAACCTCGGAAGTCCATCTTAACTAGGCCTAATCATTGCACCGAAACTTCCTTTTTATGTGATAGTCTGTCCGTGAAAAGGAATTCGCCTTCATACCTCGCGTGGGTCAAGATATGTCCCCGAGGTGCGTACGTGCCAACCTAGACTCTCGACAGATTGACAAAAACTGTCGGGATTCACCACCAAACGAAAAATGTTTAATGGGGCCAGAGGCCAGAAGAATGCACGCAAGCGAAGGACAGAGTGAGTCCGACAGTCAGGAAGATGATGTAACCGCCCCACCTATGGCTTTCAAGTCATCTTCGGTTGCATTGGAAAAGCGAACGACCGAAGTAGTGTCTATCAATGAGGCTCCAGCGAGGCTGGAAGAATTGAAAGTGGCAGATCGAACCATATCGTTCTGATGTAATTATTGTAACCGAAAAGGCCAGAACACGCACAGCAGAGGTTTGGAAGATGGGAAGCCGATCGCGTTCGACAAGAGCCCTCATCGATTGAATCCACTGGCCTCGTTCTCACTGACACGATTGGAAATTAGTCTTCTGCCTTGCGAAATTGTTAGTGATCGGGGACCGTAGTGGATTCAGGACTTAGCCATATTTATTGCCAACCGGTGAGTCGCATTTCTTTTCCGTGTGGACGCGCGACTCTCACTGTCTGTCCTCGCGCCAGACGATGGTTCACAGACAACACCCTACAGTCGTCAAACGGTTGTCAAATGTAAGACATGTATTGGCGAGAGCCAATACAAGAGCTCGAGTGTGGGAGGGCAAGACATCAACTGGCACTTTCCGGACGAGGATGAACGCAAAAATGGCATCGGCACCTGTCTCTTTGAATGAAGACGGTAGACTCACCACATGCAGTTTTCAACGTCACGTCGAGCAGAATTTCGAGCTCTGCATTGATTCACTTAATTGGCACACGCATCGTAAAATAGATAAGATTACCAATGCGGCTGTGTTGAAATTTTGGTCCTCCGATTGGAATAGAGGTGGATTAGAGGAGTCCTTGCGTGTGTTCACTGTTTGCAATGGTTTAGACAAAAACGCAAGAGTGTGATCGATCGATAAAACGCAATTTGCCGGACAAGTTGCAGGGAAATTAGGCGTATGCATTCGACACAACTAACGCAGGATTCGGGAATGCGAGTGGAACAATTGCAGCTGATCGTAGACAGCAACATTAATGCAGCACGGTCCGTTGTAAGTCTGACGGCGGATCATTATCGATAGGTATTCCAGCATCGTAAATTATATAGTAGACTCATCTCATTGTGGGACGCATCGTCATGATCTTTGTTTTTTGGAACGCATGACCATACCTATTTTGTTTGGTGTCAGGGTTAGAAGCAAGGGGGTTACCCCTCATTCCGCAATTGAAAAGCACAACGTGAGATAACATCGAGCTTGAGATTTCCTCCAATCAGGGGTTAGTCAGGTGCCTTCTCTGACCAACTCCTCCTCTTGCGCAGAGCAACATACAAATACGCAACGTAGGCCGTCACCACAGCCAGCTCGTGCTTCAGGGCCATCCTTCTCGTTTATTTGTGCCAAGCAATCAGGCACTATAGATTGTGGAGCAGTCCTCGCTGCCTAAACCAAGTCAGCTACAATGTTACCTGCAATCAATTGTGAGAGTAGTCACAATCTTTAATTTGGTAAACTCGAAAGGCGCATCAAGCACCTTTCAGGCCAACTTTCTTGGGTACAATGCATCACGCTTGCACCGGGAAACCAAGCGGTGATATGTCCAACTGAAGAACCCCCAGCCTACACTTGATGGAATCGATGTCAACTTACGAAAAGGAAATGCTGAGAGAATAACCGCTCTCTGAGGAGTTTGCCCGTTTATAAGGATTTCGACCAATTGCGTGACAACAGAGACAATCATTATCTGACTGCATTTGGTATCCATAGGTCCCCCATAATATTTGCTGCGATAAAGTTGCCCAAGCATCAAGAGGACGATAAAATGTTATGCATGATTACTGACCCCTGAATATGTGCCTCGAAACCTTGAGGGTCACTCAGCAAGCTAGTAAGGGTCCGAGCTCTGTGCAAATAAATTTCACGCTGGCGAAGGAATCTGCTTGCAATGCATGATGGAATGCTTATCTTTCTATGAGATCCTGGTGCTGATGCATAGCGCAACGTGACCGTGTTCCAATACACGCCATAGCTGTGACAAGACATGAGCTACAGCTCAGATTGGAAAGGAGCATACAGTTTATTCATCGCAAGGACAAGTCTGTCTGAGTAAATAACACATCGTTGATCCAACATTGCAATTTTGTCTGAGTTGATGACAACAACTTCCAGTACAACCAATCGAACACGGATCAGGTGATTCAGGTCGCCTGAAATATTAAGTTGTCGAGTCGAGTCTCTGACCACCAGTATATGAGACCCACCGTATATATCCGTCCAGACGGTATATGCCAACCAAGGTTCACTGATATTTATATGGAGGCATTGCCTATCACAGGGAGAGGCTTTGGACCGTCTCGCAACAATGAAGGCCAAAAGAAGAGCGATAGTGTCGCCAAAGGCACGGGCAGTGACTAGTGGATACCGATGGGTACACCGGGATTCAATGACTGAGCAACTCGAATGCGATACTCTTTTTGAGGCGTTCAAAAAAGTAATCTAAATGCCTGACCAGAAATCATTCTACGGGGTTTTCCCTCAACTTTGCGACGTGCCTGGGGTCTTGTCATTTCACTGTGGTAACGATTCAGTCATGATCTGGGGCATAGAAGGATAAACGATTGATGATTTCAATTGCCTATGTGATATTAGAAATCCGTACCAGACGATGAGGATGGGACCGCACCTGTTAGAACTGAAGAACTTCCTCTGATTCCCAGTGTTGCCTATACCGGAAAATTGTGAATGATAACCCGTCCCGTCCCTTCTGTCCGTACCGTCCGACCCTCATTTGACTGTCCGGAACGCCTCGGAATTCTCGGACTTTATTTGGGCATCACCAGGCAGTACAACCTCACAAATGATGCCCTTGAGGCCTGTTGCCAACGAGGCAAACGTGGACATGACCTCTAGCATTGGGTCAGGGATACCTGTGAGACGATCAGCAGCGTAATTATGGTTTGTTGGATGATGGGGACAGAGCGGATGGAACGGACAGGCCGAATAGAACTTTCGAACTTCCAGGAATCCAGGTTCCCTCGTAGTGTTTGTTTTGTGATGAAATATTCGGACTTAATTCGGACAATTACTTACAGACTTGTGTCCTTCAGCCATGTCACGGTATTTGGACCATATACTTACTATTGTATTTGGCGAGTGAGACAAGCGTCAAACAGCTTCATAGTATGAAGCAGACGTCGACTTTCCTGATGAGTCTCTTTTCACAGAGAAAATACATGCAGAGATGCAGAGGGGCCTAAAAGTTGTATCGGACACGAGATTCAGCAGCACTGAGGTGGCATGAAGGGCGTGGTGATAGATGAACCGACACATGCCTTGCACAAGCCGCAAACTCCCAAGCACCATTTTGAAGGAAGTTGTCCCCCAGTGGGCATGTCATTTGGCAAGTATGATGGCTGTTGTTTATTGTCGGGACTGCAAATTACAGTGATTAGTTAGCGGAGACCCAATAATCCTACTCAATCTCCTACATGCCTCCCAAAGCTCACCGCGCTGGCGCAACGGGCCTCCCTCGTACACACTCCCGTTCATCGTCAGGAGGCTCCTCCAAAGCAGCACTGAACCTTCACTTTACGCAGAAAGATCCCGCTCCAGCGAAGCAAGCCGAAAGAACAAAGAAAAACGGCCTAGTTCATGACGTGCGTCACATCAATGCTAACCCCTCAAAAATTCTGGCTGAACTGTGTGATCTCTTTCGTTTAGCCGCATTCAAGAAATACTTCGCCGTATCCTCCTCGAGTGAATAGCTCGGCACGTCTTGCTTCAAGAGAGCAGCTACCAGTTCAAGCGCAGCGGCATGCGCCTCCCTCAAACCAGCGGCAGACAACTGGCAAACCTAAAGCTGGATTTACTATCGCTAACCAAAGTGCGGATGAAGATGATGAGTGGATTTCTAGTGAGAGTGGGGCAGCGACTCCGAGCAGTGTGAGCTCTGACAGTGGCAGATCCCGAACACCGGTCGAGACGCACAGACATTCGCTCCCCGTGGCCCCGCCCATTGATGAATTCATACATCGACCGGAAACTCCAAGAGCACAACCGCCCTCTATGTCACGGGTACCCACCATCCGTCCCCCCGAGGCACCAGCTCGAGCGTCATCAGCTGTAGCTGTATCAGCTGCACATGCATCTCCGGCTCCAGCACTGGCCATATCTAGGCATCAAGTGAAACAATCTAATCTTTCTCAGCACCCTTCTCCTGAGCGCCGTATCATGGAGACTCGCTCAGAGAACACCTCGCCTATTCATCGCTCGCGTCCAGACAAGCGTCAGTCAGTCACGCGCCCACCATCTACTCATTCGACAACAAGCAGAAATGATGCACCATTACGCCCACATCCACTTATCCGAGGTCAGTCATATGGTCATGCAGCTCCAGTCACACCACGGATGGTGCCTCTCGCTCCACTCACCATCACATCTGAAGCTGCTCCAGCGCACATATCCACCACCCAGACCTATGATACGGAGGATAGAATATGCACTTCGCCCTCGAGTATCAAGACTGCATATGCACCACCACCTAACCGCAAAGCATCAATATCATCTGCACGTTCGGTGGTCACTCTTCCAACGCAAGCACATATCCAGCCACTCCATTTCAAGGCCGTACACGACCGCACGCGCACCCTGTCATCCATGTCATCAACTTCATCGAGCTCTGTACAAGCGTTGTCATCACTTGCACAACTTCCCACCACCCGTCCATCAACGCCGCAATATACCTCGCATTTTCCTGCAGCTAGTCTTTACACCAACCTTGAAACTGTGCACCCGTTACTCCCACCACCCTACCTTAGTGCACATGTATCTATC